CTGATGAGTCAATAATATCAAGTGTGTCTTAAGTTTACAAATCTGTTATTGAGTTCATCGTGGATAACATGGTTATCGTTAATAAGGATGAACTGTTTTCTCCTAAGATATCATTCGTTCATCTCATAATAGACCATTCAAGCATCATTTCAGTGGCCACAAGATCACAAGACGGTTGTTGAAGCCCACCTGTCATAAGTTTTCCTGCGACATCTGCTTCAGTTAAGATTTCAACTGGGCCTTTATTGCTATCTATAACATTTATGTTAAACACTGCTAATTCTTTCAAATAAAGCTTGTTAGAAACTGATAGTATAGATTCACAAATAACTTGCAGGCGAAGAACTTTTAAATTGCAATTATAATTTCCTCAGATACTAGACAAATATAAAGTAAATACTTCTTGTTTACATACACTTGTATTTTATTCTCCGAACAAGGAATGTTGAAGATATTCCTAGCCCTGAGGTTTATAACTCATTTCTGTAGCTGTCTCTCTCAGTAAATATGATCTCTGCGGAGCGGTAAAAATAATAGCTCTAGGAGCACGTTTTTTGCCATTGCCTCTTATCACTTTCAATCACTTTGAACTGAGCTTATTCTCTAATTGATCAAATAATTTTCTTAAACGATGTTTAAGAGTTTTGCCTATGAAGAACTAAAACTAATCTCTAACATATATACTTGAATTGGTATTTTTCTGTTATCAGGACCAGATTCAGAAATGTATGTATGTATGTATGAATCGATGGATGTGTTCATATAAGCATGTATTTATGTAGATATGTATGTATACACACTATATATACGTACATGAATCTGTCCCGATAACAGAAGAGTACTATTGAATTAATAATTCTCTACCAGAATGCATTTTTACTTGTTATAGAGCTTTTTCATAACTATTACTACTAGGTGGAAAGCTTTTAATTAACATCTCGGCAGGACTACCTTTTCCCAAAGCTTGAGGGATAGGTATGAAAATTTATCATGTGAATCAAGATTAGTTTCCTCATGTATTTTTTGAATTGCCCTCCAAAATCTAGCCAGTTCCTAATATTACCATCATTTGTCATCAACTTTATTTTAGGGTAATTCGATGGCAATGATCAATCCTTCAATAAGCGTTCTAGTTCCTGTTCAAAAGATAGCCAATGATCAATGTACATCTCAGATTCATGAACTTCTTTTTCAGTCTCTGTATCAGAAACTTCCTCAGTATAAATTAATTGCTAATTTTTTCACATTCAGTCATCAATAAAGCTTTCTTTTCAAGAACTTTAAGCTTTGAAATTTTCTCAGTAATACTGAGCTGACTTTCTTCAAATTCGTTACATGCTCAAGTAAATAGCCATAGAAGTTGTTTTCTATCTCTTTTTAAAAGCTGCATCATTTTTAAATATTTAAATATATTTTCAAAGTAAATTTCAACTTACTCAAAGCAGCTGTGTCCTATCACAGATGCTAGATGATGATTTTTGGCTCTTCTGGTACTAGTTTTGAAATCAGAAGGTTTAAAATATGTCTCTGAAAATTTTATGGAAATAAAATATGAACTTGGGTACCTTATTCACAAAACTATATACATTACAGCTTTACTTTGAAGAATTGACGTACTTTGAAAAATGTGTTAAATATATAATCTCAAACACTCATGTCCTTAAGTCCTTAAGTGTATTTAACATTTTTCTCCAGTTATTAACTCAAATTATTAATCTCAATAATATAAAAATTAATTGAAGAATAACAACAACAAAACTGTAATGTTGATAAGATACAAATCCCGCGTTTTAAAACATTTTACAAAGAGTAGAGAAAGAGGAGAAATTCTTAGCACTACTAGTTTTTTTCTTTGCTACAGAGATTTTGTAGTTACTGTAATATGTGTATAATAATTTGGTTATGTTGCAGATAGATGATGGATTGTAGTTGTATAGTAGAAGAAAAAAATTTCAGTCATGCCGGTTTAAGTATTCTATTTATTCTCATTTGTGGCCCAGATAACTTGGCACATTAATTCTGCCTGACCCAGAACTTTTATAATTTTTAAGAGAGCAGTTGTTAATGGGTCTAGCTAGTAAGAGAAACAGAAAGCAAGTGTGATGTATTTCAGATTGAATTAGTTTCGATTTCAGTATCATTTGATTGACTAATTAATAACTCTCTAAATTTATTACTAGCTGTTTGAGTTGCGGTTCACAAAACCGTCCATGTCATGGATGTTATGTTCAAGTCATGTGTTAGCTATTAATTTTCAAATTATGCAACTTAGGGAGGTTTATTACAAGCAATGACGGTTTTTAGTACAGAAAGGGGAAATACTCAGATTAAAAATGAATTGTTAAAGACTATTGCAAATTAAAGTTAGTGTTTTGATTTACATATTTTTTGTGTTACATGCTGCATATCATAATCAAAAGATGAATTGCTTTTTTCAGTTGTCTGTCTATGTTAATTTTTAGTTTCACCAAATGATTTTTGCCTTTACCATTTTCACTGTACACAGACTAAATGTTACGTGACATATAAATGTGCTCATATTTGTATCAAAATTGGTTCTTTAATCATCAGCCTTCCTGTGCTAGTGATTGCTTTTAAATGCTAAATATGATACACGTAAAAGCTATCAAAGAAGAATAATTGTAAATATTTCCACTGCTTGTCTAGCATGTAAAATAAAAATTAAAAATATTGAGGTGTACTCGGTAATATAGAACAATTTTTCTGCATGTGTGATACTCTATGAGAATTTTCTGCATTCTTCATTAGATTTTAACATTGAGAAACATAATTTTTCTTTGTTCTGATAGCTTGTTTTGTACTGTGTAGTGTAATTATGAATATAATGTACAGATATTCTCATAGGTAGAAATTGCTGCTTATATGGTCAGGTTAAGGATGTGGTAAAAGTTTCCAGTTCAAATTATCTGGAACTTCATCAGTTCTGTGAGCAGTATCTTAATCTTGAATTTTTTTGTAAAGCAAGCATATAGCTTTATATGTTATACTCAGACACGTTCTTGCTGTAAAACCCAACAAAATTAATTGAAATAATCTGTGCTATATTCCTATTAGGAGATAATCCATTTAATTTTGTTCCAAAACAAGCTGAAAGTCTATCATTATCGATACCATATAAAGAAAATAGAGTATATAAACTGTAAATGGAAGCCTTTCTTCTATTTTCCATTTTCTAATTATCTTAATCCAATCATGCTTTTCAATTCACCTTGTCCTATATTTAAACTGACTGCTAAGCTTTAAGTATGAAATCCATGGCTATTTGATATTACCAATAACAACAACATAATGCTGTAGCTTATGTAATTAATAGTATATTTTAACTGTTCAGCGTATACTTTGTTTCAAACAAGCTGAATTCCTGTTCACTTCTAAATAATCACACTAAATTTCATTAACTTGTGTCAGTCATTATATGTGTGCTGTAGCAATATGTGTATAGTTCAAGAGCAGTATTTCATCCGTCTTTTGCTAAATACTTTCCTGTAGTCTTCTGTAGTATCTGTGGCAGTCTTCTGTGTTTGTAATGTTTTAGGACTGTTGGCCAGATTAAAATTGACAACTAAGCCATCGATACTGAAATTTTAATTCTGCTAATTCATTAAATACTTCTCTTGGTGCTTACATTTAGTTGGAACCTACCTTAGTGTTGCTGTGATTTTTTTTACAGTTTTTGAAAATCACTGTAATTCTAGAGTGTGCTGGATTTTGTTCAGTCATTATTGATGACATGTGAACTCTAGAATGAATATGAGTATTTTTTGCTCAGCAGAATTTTGTGTTACATGATGTTTAAAGGTTTACTTGAAAAAAATTAACAAAATTCATAATGCTTTGAGAATATACCTTGTGTGCGTTGCAATTCATCTAAATAAATAACTTGTACATTTGTAAAAATTCACTTTCATCATATCATTTTTTAAAAGAATTCCTTGAAATATTTAAATCCAGAAAGCACCAGATTTTGTTGAAATTCACAGATTTTATTCAGGCAGATTCACCAGATTTTTTTCAGATGTGAATAGGTAGAATAAATAGTTTATATTTAGCAAGAATTTTAAAGAATTCCTTGAAATGCTTCTAGTTGAAATCCAAATTTAAACAGTGTTTTTTGAATAAACTCGCAGCTTAAGATCTAGTAAAGTAATAAGTAGATTAAATCTAGTAAACATTTGTACATTTAGATCTAACAAATTTAATAATTTTTTGTATCTGTGGGGTGAAATGTTTTGCAGTAAAAATTTTTATTTGTAAGTATGACAAAAGCAGATTTTTTTTATGAAGTATTTCAATAATAAATGGCTTTAATAAACTGAAATTCTAAATAAATTATTTATTAAATTTGATATATATTTTCTGTAATTTTATTTAATTTATCATCATTATATTTTTTACATTTTATTTAATTATACATTATTTATTAAAAATTTTTTTATTTATTCCTGAATCCAGTGTAATTTTTCCTTTCACAGGACTCACATTTTTTAGAAAATAGAATAAGCTGTTTTTTTTCCTTGTAATTATTGAATGTTATTATGACTTTATGTCCAATAGTATAAATGTTGTCTCTTGATGATCTTAAGCATCTTTCATCAGTACAGTATTAGTCTATAGTAAAGAAATCTTTCACCTAAACACATAGGTATACTGGATAATTGTTGTTAGGTTTCATTTTGAACTGATCTGTATTGAAAATATAATTAGTGTTAATCAGATAAATGTCAGTAGTTTATTTAGTCAGTGTTTGATAGCAGTACTTTATTTGCATATGTTATTTCATAATGCACTTCTTAGAAATTTTAAGATACCTCAGGGATTACACCTTCTTTGGATAACTGATCTATTATGATTATTCATTCATGTTCAGTGTCCAGTTAGTTCATAATATTGTATCAAATTATGAACTAACTGCTACATCGGGATGTATGCAACTTTTTTTGCTTTGATATTTAAAAGTCTTTTTTTTCTTTTATGTTTAGTTGATAATTCTGAATCTGAGGAAGGAAGCTGTTACACATCCAAATCAGAAAACTCAACAGAATATTTTTCTAGTACTTCTTTTGGTACTGAGAATATGTCTGCATGTTCTTCTTTTAGTAGGTAAATAAATATATAGGTCATCTTGTAGAATAAATGCTATTGAATTTTGCTAGTATAAGTAATTATAATTTCATTTGTGTTTTTGTGAAAGTTTCATGAAAATCAAAATATTTATTTTTATTGTAAGGACTGTGTAGCTGTGATGTATTGCATAATATTATGGTAATGATGTGGTATGCAATCTACCATTTTTAGTTAGTTATTTCTTAGATGGTACCACTAAAATGTTATTTTTAAATTTGAACATCTAATAAAATGGCAGAAAAAGAAATGATTAAGATAACAGTTTTAGTCTCACCATCTAAAAAATAAATAATTAGCTAAAAATGGTAGATCACATATTACATCACTACCAGCAATTTTACTGATGTGTCATAATTCTGTAGCTGTATTATTGTTAGGAAGTCATTTTACTGTTGTTATATTTATTATTTTTTAATACAATTTTTACTAGGTTATGTAAATTGCAGTAGGAAGTTGCATTTATTGCCCCCCCCCTTTTTTTTTTTTTTTTTTTTTGCCTACACATCTCAGTGTGATATTTGTTAAATTATGTGTGCCAGGTAACAAAATTCGAATTCATTTCAAAGATGTTCATTCAAAATAAGGTCAGGGTTTTGGGTAAGGTAAATTTTTCAACTTGTCTTGAAATTATGAAGCTAGAAACCTTTATGACTTTTACAAACTGCATGATGTGGAAAATGTGTTAATATCTAAATGTCCAAAGCAATAAAAATGCATGATACTTAAATACTATCTGTATTGAAAAATGAATCATAGAAATTGAAAAATGAATATGAAATCATGATCATTATTGTAATTATAGAACGTAATTGAAATAATTATATTGTAATTGTAATGACATTATGCAATTACTAAGTAATTACAATTACAAGTTAATTACAATTACAATTTATGCAATTTCATTTAAATTACAATTATGCTGTATTTTGGAAAAATCTAACTTCATATTCAAATGCAACTGCAATTACACTGTAATTTCATAATTGATTTCTTTATAGATTTTATTTTACAATGAATTACAAAAAATCTGCCAAAATGACCGATGCTAAAAATGTGTTCATTATTTTGATAATGTATTAATTCTCACTTACATGTAACTTTCAATAGGAATTAGGTATTTTGAAACTCTTATAAATTTCGAGTTAGTGTAAAACCTTGATAGCTTGAATCAAAAGCAGATAATTAGTTAAACTACACTGTTTAACTAGTTTGTAAAATTTTATTACTGTGATGTGCATATCTATACGAATTAAATTGAAACCTTTTTTAGTATTCCACTTATATTTGCACTGCATTAATATTCATTTTTGAAGAACTTAGTTATTATGTATTTTCAACAAATTAGCATTCTCTAAACATACATTAAAGTACCAAAACGCAATAAAAATCAATAACATTTTTACTTGATAAGCAATTAAAATCAGAAATAAGCACAAAATTAGTAGCAAGGTAATCGGTACCACATTTTTCTGTGTTTGGATTTCCAGAAAAAATACCTTTTTCGTTTATCCAAAGCATGGAGATAGAACTTGTTCCTTTCTCCGTACCCATCTGTTTTATTGCCTCTATCATGGTTCGTATGGTCCTTAAGAGTCCTTAAAAGTCCTTTAATTTTTTGGAATTGATTTTTGGTCCTTAAAAGTCCTTAATTTTGGCCAAAATCAGTAGAAGGTCCTTAATTTTAATCATGTGAAATTTCTGCCTGTTTTTATGACTGCCATTTAGAGTGTGAATTAGCATTTTGGAGGAATATTTTTGGTGATTCACTGACGTATATGGTTATTTTTTGAATGGGTTCATGGGTTATAATTTGTTTCTATTTTTAATATAAATGACGGGATACTCTAGTTTCTAAGCAAGAAGTGAAACATAAGCATTTCGAAATTCATTTTTTGTAATAAAGAACTCTTAAACAATTTTCGCTTTTAGGAATGTGAATTCTTTTATTAAACGGTTCTAAATTTTGGCGACTTGTCAACATTTTGGCGATTTTAAGACCAGTTTCTATAGAAAATTTTTAATTTTGAAATCAGAATTTTTCAGTGATTTTTTTTTAAAAAACATCATAACTTTGATAAATTTCATTAAAATAATAGTAATATATTGGAATTATATTTAAAAAATAACATTAAAATAAAACATTTTTATTTTCCGCTGTCATATTATAAAGTTTTATTTTGGCAACTTATTATACAATATTTTGAATCTGAAAAATAAACAAGGTATAATGCTATAAAGCAGAATTTTCCCTCTCCTAGCGAAAAATCTCTTTAGGGTAGTAATTAATGCTTCCGAAGATAAGTCTGAGACAATTTCTAAGTGAATTGCTTTTGTAGCAAGGCACCCAAATACTGCAACATACATTTTTTGAAAAACTCCTTTGATTTTTTTGCCTTTATAAGAAACGGACCACAAAAATCGAGTCCACACATTTGTTAAAGGTTGGTTCAACTGGCACTCGTTCAGCAGGCAGATCACCCATTATCTGATCTATTGGTACAGGTCTGTGCAGAGTCGTAGCTAGGGTTTTCAGCGCCCAGGGACAACTGAAGATTTCGCGCCCCCTACTGCTTGCCAAGGAAGGAAAACATTTAATTCTAAAATGTCGTAACATCAGTTTGGCGCCCCTTGGATTCTGCGCCCGGGGACAGATGCCCCCCTTGCCCCCCCCTAGCTACGCCAATGGGTCTGTGTTTGAAACACTGTATGCATTCATGTACTATTTTTCTAGCAAGATTCCTGCTGCTGATGTTCCAAAACTTAAGAGTCCATGGAGCACTATGTGATCTTCCTGGAATGCAAATCTAGGAATCTTAAGATTAGTTCAGAGAGCGTGGATACGAAATTAATCCACTCCTTGGCCATAGAATCTGGCAATGTGTCATTCCAATCGAGTTTAGCAAGCCAGAGCTTTTGCATGATTATTTTGGCCTTTGTGACCACTGGCCCAATTAAACCAAGTGGATCGAACATTTTCGAAATTAGTGACAGAACATCTCATTTACTGTAACTGTTAGAGTGAGAAATGGTCATTGTAAACAAAAAACAGTCAATCTGAGGATTCCATACGACACCAAGAGTTTTTACAGACGAAGATTCTTGTTGCTCTTCAAAAGTGTATTCTGAATGAGCAGTAACCGTATTTTCAGACACAAGCCTATCTGTATAATTTTCACGCCATTCATGCAATTCCATTTTTCCTAATTTTAACAAATCTATTAATTGGGAATGTAGAAGTCTAGCCTTTTCGAGTGATGATTCTCCGGAAAGTATGTCGTCGACATAGAAGTCAGTAAGAGTGATGGACGATGCTAGAGGTAAGTTTTGGCTTTCATCTATAGCTAACTGTTTAAGAGCTCGAGTTACTAGATAGGGAGTGTTTGACGTCCCATATGTTACTGTGTTGAGTTTATCAGTGCTCAAAACAGTGCTCAAAAGAGCTTCTGGTCCAAGATGCAAATATTTCAGATGATAATAGTACATGATCAAATAAGTCAACCTATGTCTAGCTGGCAAAATTATTGGATATTTACAATCATAACTTACCTGAGATTGCGCAAAGTCTGCTACCGACACGTGCAAGATTCCATCATTATCGATGAATGGATTTAAATGATTTAAGCTTGCTCCTATGAGGTACCTTAGCTATCCCTCTTAAGTGACTCAATATCATAATAAAACTCACCTTTCTGTACTTCCCGAATCAAAATGTTAACTCGGCCCCTTTCTGTTCCTCTCCGGATATAGGCCCTGAAACCCTTTCCTTATTCTTAATGATTCTGAAGAACCTAAAAATAAAAGTACAAATTTTGATTAATTTCATATAATTATTTGTTCGATTTAAGAGAGAAGTTAAACTAGAATTATTTTCTAATATTGCAAAATTAGAGTCTGATAAACATTTTAGTTCCTTGACATAGTCATTATCAGTGGTAGGCTCAAGAGATTGTTCTGGATAATGCATGTCCTCACGGAGAAGGTCTGGTCCATTCCACCAGATATCACACGTAAGAATGTCACTGGCATCCAGTCCACGCGATATGACATCAGCTGGGTTACAATCAGATGGCACATATTTCCATTGGTATGACCCCGTAAGCTCTTGTATTAAAGCAACTCTGTTGCTCACGAAAGTTTTTAGTAAGTGTGGTGATTTTCTAATCCAAGCAAGAGAAATCGTAGAATCAGACCAAAGAATTACTTTTTCTACTTTAACATTTAACGAAGATATCACTTTATCCATCAATCTGGATAATAGAAGGCAACCTTACAGTTCCAATCTAGGAATTGATAAGGTTTTATAGGTGCAACTCATGACTTGCTACACAAAAGTCGAGCAGTTGGCCATCTTGAAACTGGTAACGCTTGAACACAGATTGCAGCTCCGTATGCTGAAGATGATGCATCTGCAAATCCATGGAGCACTATGTGATCTTCCTGGAATACAAATCTAGGAATCTTAAGATTACTTAGTTCAGAGAGCGTGGATACGAAATTAATCCACTCCTTGGCCATAGAATCTGGCAATGTGTCATTCCAATCGAGTTTAGCAAGCCAGAGCTTTTGCATGATTATTTTGGCCTTTGTGACCACTGGCCCAATTAAACCAAGTGGATCGAACATTTTCGAAATTAGTGACAGAACATCTCATTTACTATAACTGTTAGAGTGAGAAATGGTCATTGTAAACAAAAAACAGTCAATCTGAGGATTCCATACGACACCAAGAGTTTTTACAGACGAAGATTCTTGTTGCTCTTCAAAAGTGTATTCTGAATGAGCAGTAACCGTATTTTCAGACACAAGCCTATCTGGATAATTTTCACGCCATTCATGCAATTCCATTTTTCCTAATTTTAACAAATCTATTAATTGGGAATGTAGAAGTCTAGCCTTTTCGAGTGATGATTCTCCGGAAAGTATGTCGTCGACATAGAAGTCAGTAAGAGTGATGGATGATGCTAGAGGTAAG